GCAATTCTCAGTAGTATATGATCACACACGGAAAAAATAGTGACTGCGCACCTTTAATGGAACCATTGGTGCCAGCGCACCACCACGTTATAGACATCCCAAGTGCTTATTATTTATTGCCATTTTAAACATATTATATGAGTGTATTTTTTAACCAAACGTCTAATGAACTATACACAGTTATGAACATAGGGATTAAAAGTACCACTGTCTGCTTTGCTATTGGTGTCGTGTTTAAACCGCTCACCAATCATGTTGAAATCTGGCATGTGTTGTGGTATATATACGGTCCGGTGCGGTGAGTCACTTTAGTTTCAGAGAAATTTTTAGCACCATCACATCTGCAAAGAGACGTCCTGGTTTAAAATTGCGTTGGGGGTCTACCAGGTGTCAGTGACGGGGCCCCTAAGAGGTCGGGGGCCCGTAAGCAAATGCTGTCTCTGCTTACCGACATTTACGCCATTGGGTCCAATATGCCGGTAAAATATTGTGAAAATCTTTTGGCAGGATAACTACCGTAAACATTTGAAAACTATTTTAAAGACTGATAATTCTACAAAGGTCTGATAAAATATATGCAAACATCTAAATCTGGAAAAAAAAAAAAAAAAACTGGAACAAAACATTCACTATCTTTTATTAAAGGTTTCAGGAGATGTAAATCATTTTATTGATCCTAACTGATCTAAATCATAAAATAAATTAAGGATGATACTCAAGAAAGATATGTGTATTTTTAGACCATGTATTTGTAAAGATCTTTTTCAATTGAAGAGTTAAAAAAAAAACTTTCTTTTTTTTTAGATTAACATGAATAACAACAACAAAAGTAACTGAACCCAGAGGAAAAAAGTAATAAAAATGACTGCATTCCAAGTGGATGGAAATATAGAAAATAATTATTTAAATTGTGAAGTTTATGCAGCTGAAAAAAATCTGCTTCAACTGCAAGTTAAGACTGCAACCAACAGTAAGATATTTAGTAAACATTTAATTTTAATATGTTCATGCATATTTTAATGCATATTTGGGATAAAGATCCCCTTGGATGGAAGCACAGTGCAACCATTGTGGAATTCAAGGTAGCTGCATATAGATTTATCTGGGAGCTGCGTTTTCAGGGAAAGCAAAGCTAATAGTAATAACAATAGCTGCAGAGCAAAGCTCCTGGTGGAGCCTCGAGGGGCTGTTGTTCAGTTTAAGTGTTTCTCTTTACCTTTCTGTGTCTCTTTGGAAGTGAATGCAGTTTCAGGGAGGGGCTGAGGTGGCCGGTATGCAGGGTCAAAATGCTGGCGAGGTACTTTCACAGAGTTTCAGAGACTCAACAATCAATACATGCTTTAAATAGGGACAAAAATAACTGCACACAGCACTTAACAGCAATTGCTGGATCTTTTTTTTTTTTTAAAGAAGCATTTTGCTGAATAGATTGGCTGGATGTTGCCCACACAGACCTGCTGTGAGGGGTTGGAGAATTTAACTCAATGCCTTACACTGACTTAATTAGTAGCTATACTGGAGAAACATATTAACTGTAAATGCACAGCTAAAATAAAGCCCTCCTAAAAGAGGAAACAGTCTTGTAGATGTAGATGTTTGTTGCATCCATCCATCCATCCATCCATCCATCCATCCATCCATCCATCCATCCAGATTAAAGGTTAAGAGGGAAGGCATCGCACTGCTGCTGGTTGCAGTACCTTTTGGATTTCAGTAATAAGCAGATATGATACCCTAATTATAAGAAATGATTAATGTTCTTTTAACCAATAAGTTAGTTAGAGACCACTGTGGAGAAGTTAAGAGCAAAGTGAGGTTATGCACAATTTAGCTTGGAGAATAAGACAAATAGTACACACCTGGCCTTTATGAAAAACCAGGGCAACCATAGTCCTTTAGGAAAAAGAGAATAAACATCCTAACCCGATGTTTTCCACAATCTATAAGGTACAAAACGAGTCAAAATTTAAAAATTATGGCGTAAAAATAACTCTTGGAGGGAGCAATATGGTATATTTAGCTGATCTAAGCATTCGCTCTTTAGCACCCTCTGCTGGTCGTGCCTTTTACAGCAGTATTACTTTCGCTTTTCTGATCAATAAAAAAAAACCCAACAATAAATGTTTGACTACTTAAATAAATAGACCCCTCATCAGACATTTAATCCAAGTTCGTATCAGGAACTTGATCATGCCTGTTGGCTGCTGCTCATTTAACTTTGTTTCTACTTTTAAAGACACACAGAGGTCATTTGGGGGCAGAAAGATCAACAGTGTGTTGACCCGCAACACATGAACTCTAGATGTGTGTCTCTGCCTCTGTGTGTGTGCTGCCTCCAGGGGATTTGCGTCCATGCCTGCGGGGACGTGGACAGCTTGCGGATGGATTGATAGTGTGACGTCACCTCTCCCCGAGGGCAGGATTAAGTCAGGAGGGACAGAGACAACGCTCCGGTAATCTCCCCGATGATACCAGGGGGGAAAGCGGACACGTTTGGAACCACATCCAATTGGAAAACCCTCGCTCAATAGGAAATAAATCTGTCTGCGTTTACAGCATGATGGGTGTGTTAAAAGCTCCGCGGGAAACCGACGCGCCCCCGGACAGGTAAAGGCAGCAGGTAAGCTGCAGAGACGCACAGAGGGAAGCTCGTTTGCGGAGGATTTATGTTTAAGGTGTTCACAGGCTGCAGCGTCTGTCTGTCAACAACTGCTGCTTGCAGCCTACAGCTCATGGGCAAGTTATAGTTGAAAGATTGCAACCTTTTTGGTGCCAGATTGTGAGAAAATGAACCAATTCAAGTGAGATCATGCAAGCAAGCAGAGAGGTGCACCTTGAGGAAATGTGTGTTATTCAGATAAACTGTTTCATAGTAGGATGGAACTTTTGGAGACATGGTTTATAAAACATTCCCTAAAAATATCAAAATCCTTTAAATAAATCCACATTGAAACACAGACGCATGATCTCCAAGCAAAGGAATATTTGCTACTCATAAAATCAAATATGGCACAAGAAGTATTCTAGTATCCCACATCACCTAATAAAGCTTCCTTTATTAGGGGAAAAAATTGCAACCCATGCAGACATGGAGAGAGAACGAGATATCAGAATATCCCCTTTGCACATTCTAGAATCATGCAGAGTCCAATTTCCTCCCTTATGCTCTTGTTACTTGAGCTCAGCCAGCATCCTTATTAAGGGAGTTATAGGTCTGGAGACTCAGATAGACCTAAAATGGTTATTTGTGTCCAATTAGCCATTTCAGTTTTCATTTAGCCTTGTGATTTGGATCTAGATTGTCTTGAAAGACAGTTTTGCGTTCCTGCCAGAGACCAACACATTTTTTATTTGAAATCTCTAGGTGACTGAGAGTGCATGATGCCATACCTCAATAATAATACCTGCATGGGTTTGTCAAAAGAACAAGCTGAACAGAAGCACCACAGAGCCTCCACTATGCATAACAGTCAGCATTGGGTTTTATCTCCATATTGAGCCTTTCTTTCAAGTCTTGACAGTTTGGTTTTTAAAAAGGTTATTTTCATTTTATGTAAAAGTGCAATGTTCCATGCAAACTTATGCTGGTGATGGAAGGGAATTGTTTTTTCTATAATACACATTCAAGCTTTTATTGGAGACTTGGGGATACTAATATGTCTCTCTATGCTACACTGTAGCAAGCAAACAGTGAGCTTTTGAGATTTTTTTTTTAACCCTTTCCTTCCAGGCCCCTCACTCTGTTAGGCTCAAGAGGACTGATCATACTTAGGACATTGTGCAGCTTTTACAGTAACGTCGATATGGGACATTTTAGGCCGGTGTCTAGATTCTTGTATTCAGTTCCTGATTTAGAGAGAAAAACACTTAAATCTGAAGGCTGTTCTCCTGTGTTTCATATTGTATAGAGTGAATCAGAAAGTTAAGGCTCCTTTTCAAGTCATAACTATCAATCAGAACTGAAATAAAAAGTAACTGTTAAATTAAAAAAAACAACTTCATTTACATATGTAATGTTATTGAACAGCTTATTGTCTTATTGGCTATGTAGCACAAAAGAGACGTATTAATAAATATAGAAGTTGAAGAGAAGCACTGATTAAATTTTCTTCCTCCTAATACCGATTTTCCTATTCATTTGACTTCTGACCCCTTTTTAAAGATTGTGATTTCTTTTGTTCTCACTATACCATATACATTTAAAAAAAAGATATGCATGCAGTTTCCTTGATTGACAGACCTGTTCAAATATAAAATGAGGAGAAGCATATTGGCATTTATATAAAAGCATATGTTCTTATATGCTTTAATATACTTTAACAAGTTCCACATATTTGCACCAAAGAAAATACATAGTTTTATATATTTAATAACAGAGAAATTACACATTTATTTACAATAACTGATGTATAACCATGCAACTAATAGAAGCACATCCTTCAAATTTCCAAAAATAGTTTTTCCTCATATCACCCCTTTAATAGGGCTACTTTGAACCATTTAGCTGCAGGCCATGTTCTATAAACACTTAAGAGCTGCTCCCCCACTTATATGCATGAAATCGATGTTTTTTTCTGCTTCTTCCATGACAATGAAGAGAATAGTGGAGAATAAAAGCCTGACTTCTCACACTAAGGCTACAGCCTAAAGGTTTCTTCTTGTATGCATCTCTTCAAGTATTTATGGTTTGGCTGTCACCTACTTGGCAGATTCCTCTAAATAACCAAAAAATAAAAAAAGAACCTGCAGGCAATTTTGCTAAGGCCCTGTTAGTTTTACCGCTACCGGTTTTATTCATGGAAACAGTCTCTATTTTACGTGTGGAGTCCAATTGCCTGTAATAATCTTGCTGCGCTTCCTCTAGTGTTGGTGCACTGAGATCATAGGATATAGAGAGGCTGACCTTTTTTTAACTTGGTGTGGTGAAAATTAGCTCCAAAGACTCAGAATAAGAACAAAGGAAAGTTTTGAAAGGGTGCAGGTATGCGGTGGTGCGCGTAAATGAGGATAGACAGGCTGAGTGAGAGGCTGTAACCTCGGAGAGGGAGCGACATCAGCGCAAGCAGGCAGTATGCGACGCGGATGTTTGTTGTGTGCGCGCAGCGCAGACACCGCCGTGCGTCTTTACGCTCAGAAGCTCCTGAGTCCTGATCTCACTGCTACTCTCTAATTTCTTCTCCTCCAGTCTCACCTGAGAAGACACGGCGGAGGACTGCTGGGCTCCTCTGCGCTTTGTGACTCACAGATGCCCCACTTAACCATGAAGGAGCGCAGGAGGCAGTAACTATCCACAGCCAAGCTACCAGAGAGGACCTCGATCATCACCATGAGGACCCTTTGAAACACTGCTCATCTCCTAAAACAATACAGGAGAAGACCAGTTATCTCCTATTTGTTCATTTAATCACCAAATGGACCGTGTGCCCTTGGGACTGGCCGCTAAAATGCGCTGGATTACGCTGGTGCTTGCGGGCTTGACTTTCTGGGGGAAACTTACTATTTCTAATTGTTTCGACTACGAGGAGCCCGAATTCGATTACTACGAAGAAGAGAAAGTGGAGAGCATTGACTACAAAGATCCGTGTAAAGCCGGTGAGTCCATTTTCAACAGTTTCATTACGGTATATGAAATGATGAGAGTAATATTTCCTTCTGATCCATACACACATCTGGCTACGATCAGGCACGTGTGTGTGTGTTGGTGGGAATGACAGCGCGCGTGCGTCTTTGCGCTCGTGCGCATTCGATTCTTTTTTATCCATCCTTTATGACTCTAATGTGATCCTGCAGTCGGGAGAAGGTCCTGCTGCAGGATTAAAGTCAAGTTACAGTTTTTAAAGCAACCCCTCTCAGATGGTGCATCATCAGTAGGTTCTGGAAGAGCTCCCGATTTGTGGTCGGGACAGCTGTTCCAGAGAGGGGTTGTGCATGTGTGCAGATGTTCAATCAACCATCAGTGTAGATGAAAAACAGCTGGAATCCAGTGCACCGTGGAAAGCCTTTCTCTCTTTAACACTGAGACTCTTTACAATAAAATGTGAAGCCTTTTGCAAGATATTTGCAAGAGCTTCTTTGAGTAAATAATGTTTGATCTAAAGCCACAAAGCACGTTTCTATGTGTGCATGAGATATCTCACACCTCATCAGCACCTTCTATGTTCAGTGGAATAGCTCACTCCCCTTTTTGGAGCTGGAATGCTATGATTTTTCTCCGATTCTAGTAGAAATGTTGCTTATGGTACCAGTGAAAACTTTCAAAAGGCAATAGGATGCATCACATTTAGGGCGATATCTCTTTAAAGGACACAAGCTCATATAGAAAAACAATTTTATGGCAGCTGCAAGGATTCCTTCCTTTATTAACTTGAACTTTTCTCATTTTTATCTAAGGTGTAATGAAAAAAAAAACGTTTTCTCTCTTCAGAGATGGTTTTTAAGCTTGCGTTTGCCAACTAGATTATTCTCTTCTATTCTATTCTCTATCAGTGTAGTTACACTCTTTCTTACCCTTTCTTTTTTACCCTTTTTGCATATCTTATAATGTGTTTTTCAGTGTCAAAACATAATTAAATAATTGTAATTTTCTAAATGTTAAGTCGGTTATGACATACATTTATTTTCTACTTTGTCAGCACAGAGTTAGCAACTTTTGCAAATATCAGATAATTGGTCAGACTCTTGATTGATATGATTATTGACTCAATACAATATCAGCACCAATTATAAATACTTTATATATTATTAGAAAAGGCTTCATAAAGTGAACTTACTTAAACAAAACAGTAATACTTAATATTAATAGGTATGAGAACCTAAACGACCCGATTATTATTAACATAAACTTTAAACAGAAGTGATAGAAGCTGAGTGTTTCTATCAGCATTATTATATCAGAGATTTTAGATGCAGGCCGATATATTTGATATACTTGTTTTTTTTTTGGCTGATATCAGACCAATTTCTGCAGCATTTGAGTTTAATGTACTTGCATTTTGCAGCAGTGTTGTCAATGTGCAGTATATTTGGCATCACTATGTTGAGATGTTTTTTACAAAAGAATTTATTTGAAAACAAAAAACAAAACAAATTTAGTATTCTATTACATATGCAGTTGTTTCAAATCAACTGAGATGTGATGAAGCTTGTTACTAGATTTAAAGTCTTTTATCATAGTATTCCTATTCTTCCAGTTATTTAGAACCTGTTAACTGGAGTTTCTAGTTTTTTTTTGTAGCCCTGCTGGCTGAAATAAGGTGGCTACATTTTTTTGTCATACATACAAGAATGATAAAAATAGTTGTTTGCAAATGTCCTGTTGTAAGCGTTCCATCAGTCAAACAGTTTCAATCTGCAGTTTTTAGAAGTTTGTATTTTTAACAGCTGGCCGTAGGGTTACTGCTCAACCAATTCATAATAATATAGAAATATCTTCCTAACATTTCTCCATAAAATCAAAAAGGCTTAATTTAGCAGTTAATAATCTTAGACATTCAATTTAAATTGAGGTTAAATGAGATTATGCTAAGATATTTTATTCAATGTTTTTAAAGTGTGGAAGTATTATACGAACAAATGACTACTGGGTGTCTGGGGAGTTTTCTTTGCAAAGCTGCAAAGAATACATTGGTTGTTTTTTTTTTAAAATCACATAGCTTTGTATTTCCATCAGTAAATTAGTTTTCCTTTAAATATTTATCTCTGTTATTTAAAATAACTTTTCTGGTTTGAAAGTGACAAGAAATTCCCCAGCTGTTGTGAAAAAAAGCTTGAATTTAGTCAAACTGTGTGTTAACCCCCCTGGAGAGGTTTTTAAATTTCTAACAGAAAAAAATCAAACCTTTTCCATTTTTTTTATCTCCCCTGCTTCGTGCAAAAGCATCACAGACTGTTATGAGTTGTTTTGACCGGTGATTAAATTCTTAAGTATGGATTTATGTTTAGTTTTATTTTTTATTTAGGGGTGTCTATATCTTATTTACACAAATATGAACTTCACCCAGAGTGCTAACTAACTATGACCTAACATGCTTTTTGCTCATACCAAACCAGCCAACCCTGTTGAGTAGCTTGTGGGTTGTTTTATGTCTAAATTACACAGATCTGTCTAAAAGTGATTTCCTGTTGCCTCTGTGGCTTTTAGCTGTGCTAAAAACATACAGTTTGTGTTGTGAGACGTGTTTGGATGGAAGCCCAGCAGGTTACACAGACACTACATTGGTTTCAGTGTCTGAGGGAGTTCTGTAGTTCAAAATAATTGAGTGAAAACCGCGTAAGTTGTGTTTTTTCTTGTTCTTTTTTGCTGTAAATACATATGAAAGAAATAACACTCTCAGATTTAGATATGAAGCTTAAAATGGAACATATTTAACAAGTACCCGATTAGGGTTGTCAAAAGTATCGAAACTCAAAAAAGTATCGATACTGAAATGTTGTATCCGGATACAATACTCGTTTTTCAAAGTATCGATACAGTGCCACCACCAGTGGCACCTAAGCAGTCCTTCATCTAAAGTGCAGAATAGAGGAAAATGCACTTTCAGAACACTGTGTGATTGAATAATTCTGTGCACTTTTCAGTTTCAGACTTTTTTTTTTGTAAGAGGTGCAGCTGCTGAGAATTATTTTTGTTTTTTAACCAGTTTGGCTAGTGTCATTGTTATGTGTGCAAAGCATAGCCGAGGAAGAAACACTTAATTTTAATTTTATAAGTTTTTTATCAAGCTTGCTTAATATTGTGCACAGCATACAACCTTTATTGTATTTTATTTATTAATGAAAATATTTCTGTAGAATTTTGGAGTCGTTGTTTTTATCCTTGTGGTATCGAAAATGGTATCGAGTATCGAATATTTTCCTTAGTATCGGTATCGAGGTGAAAAGTTTAGTATCGTGACAACCCTATACCCGATATCCTCATATAAAAAGTCACAGAGGTGTGTGATGCTGCAAATGCTAGTATTGGATACCACTAGATATAAGACCAGTACACCAGATACCTAACTTAATATTTTTAAATATTTTAGTATGTGTCATTAAATTTCAACAAAAACTGATGGAAGGACTCAAGAACTGGTGTCATATACTGATGCACTCTAGTTTCGTAGTTTTAGTGAGGACCAGTGGGGAAATTCTGGATCAACTGCAGCTGACTGATCAACCTTTTATGCCGACCTGTAAAGACACCAATATTACGAATGTGAGAAGAATGTATCAAACAGACAGGTTTGAATCCTATAATAGGGTTGCATTAAACTGATTGCAGTTAATTAAATCCCTTCTCACATAAACTAAGATCACATTTGGCATCATGAAAAGAATGACATATGTCAGTAAAAAGGGAGATTATCATTAAAAGTCATCACGCTCACTCTTTATGTCAATATTTTTGTCAATGGTAGCAGTTGATTTAGTGATAACGGAGAAAAGCTTGTTTTAATCACAATAGAAGTTTTTTTTTAGAGCTGCAGTGAATAAATAGAATGTTGATTTGTATTGGCACGTTTACAGCTTGATTGGCTCTAACTGATGACCTACTGGTTGGGTACTCTGCTGTCTGATACTCTTTCAATACAGGAGGTTTTGAAGTTTGCATGAGTTAATTGCCTTGCCCAGAGGCACATTAACATGTGGCAGGAGGAACCCACAATTTTGTAATTGCAAGACAACTACTTATCCCAGTGATCTACAGGTGCCACCTCAATTGAACTGTATTTTAAGCAAAGCTTCTTTGTGGATCTTTAAGCATTAGTGGTTTAAGGGCGGAGAGAGTAAGTAAGGTTAATGTTTGAAACCCTTATAAGAAATACTATGAACATACTTTTTTTTTAATAACCAATGATAATTTTAACATAATAGAAATAATAATACTAAAATTATCTGCTGTTGTCCTGAAACTTAAAGGAATAGTTAAACTTAGAGAAACCTTTGTTGAAACTTAAAGGAATTGTGGAGGATTTTAGCTAATTTTTGAAAAGACCATTCCTCTCCACTTTTAAAGAAAAAGTGGACATGTACAACCCTGTACCTGCTCCTGAGAGAGAATGGCAAATAAACATGTGCTAGGGCATGCACAAGCCCATTTCTCCTCGTGCAAGCTCTGTTTAAAAGTTGCTGTTTGCATCGCTTATACAAGCTTACTTTCCAAAAGAAGATTTACAAATTTTCCACTATGTCAGACTTCTAATACAGCAAATTTAACAATGACCTGACACATACCATCATCTTTATTCTATTCACAATCTTTGAAACCTTTGTTAAACCCATCTGTGCATCCAACACATATATGAACTGTCACCTAAAAGGTTGTTTTGGAAGTGGTAGTTTAATCTGACAAAACAAGGCTTTATTCTTTTTTATTAAGAATTCTAACCTCCCTATTTAATATTAGGTGTTAAAATCTTATGTTTCGATTCAACTATGAGTTATTATTTGGTTGACAAATCTATTTATTGGTGTTTAGTTGTCAGTCTAGGTAGTGGGGATCATGTTGGCAGTGTTATCAGATACAATCAGCAGTCACCACTGTTTGCTTCTATTTTTCATGGAGTGACACATGGCTTTTACATTTATGGCTGTATGGTTTTCATGCATAA